AAACTGTTTACTGCTGACTTTGAGGGTTATTTAGATTGTTCTAATAATAAAAGATATTCTTTGATAGGATTCATAAGCACATGTCAATGTTTTTTTTTACTTACTTTAAATTTATTGAAAACTGAGGGTTTAATTACGGTAGTCTAACTGAAATAAGTACACAGGAGAAATGTTTTTGAGAGAAAAAGACTCTAGTTGAGTCTGTTAGACTCAAAAGTTCAAAGAAGAAAGCTTTTGAACATTAAAAGTTTATAAAAAATGGAATATGTCTTGTTTGTCTTCAAAATTCACGTAATTAAACGATTTATCATGTTTATGAAAAAAATGTGATAAATAAAACTAAAAATTAAACCAGAAATCAACAAATATTACTGTTTTGTAGTTTTACTATGTGCGGAAAGAGTTGAAACTTGTGTTACTCTTTGATCACTTCGAGAAGGAAGGTGGAAGAGAATGGTGATAAGACTGAACACACTTGATTACTCTTATGATGAGTTGACATCTGTTTACTCATTGACTACTACCAAAAACCTCTTCCTACAAAAAATGGAGTTAGTATTATGCTAAAAAGCGAGGTTAACACCCCGTAAAAATTCTAAAAGAAGAATATGGCCTTCTAATTTCCAAACCCCTAAAATTGGCCGATCAAAAAAGTAGATAAAGGTCCCCCACATGAACCAAAAAATTAAAAATTCTTAAAAACTATTTTAAACGATGGCTCTTGGTATAAAACGTACGAAAAACATGTTTAAAAGTCAAATTATTTTTTTACCCGGACCCACATCCGCGCAAAATAAGTCAAAAAACGTTCTCTATCAGAATTTCACGTTAGAGTATCCATTCGACGCAGAAAATTTTGCTGAATCGAATGGTGAAGAAATTATTGAAATCCGACTGACTCGAGTTTTTAAAATCGCATTTTATCGAAAAAATCGCACTTTTACAAGCAACTCGCTCGTAGCGACCAACTTTCGGCGGCTCGTTTTCAGCGTGGTCAAAAGATTGCGCCCTCAAAACCGATAACTGTGTGGACGTGTACAAAGATCATTTTGATACCAATTTTGATACGCTATGTGGTCCGGACTCCATATCCATAGCGAATCTTCTAAAAAATCCATGTGGTCCCCCACATAAAATTTTTTTGAAAAAATATTTTTCATTTTTTCAAAAATCATGTTTTCAATTTTACTGCTTAGGTAAAAATACTTCTATCTGGACCTAAATCTACTATTCTACCTAAAAAGAAGTTTCAAAAAGTCACGATTTCAGGGGGTCATCGGGGGTGGTTTTCTATTAGAAACTGATCTTCTATTAGAGACTAGGCTTCTATTAGAACTTCTACAGTAGTCTTGCAAACCTCAGCACACAACGTCCGAGAAACGGCTCGCCACGTGTGAAAAAGAAGCGCCAATAGTCAACAAAAATAGGCTTGACGAAGATGTGAATGATGTCATCCCACATCCAAATTGATCCTGTGATAAGCATCTGAAAGTAAATGATTGTTTACTGGTTTTGTTGAGGTTATGTTTTTAAAATTCACAGAGCTCTGTTCTCTGTAAACTGTTAAGTCAATCTTGAGTTTTCAAAACATTTGAAACAAGCCATCTTTTTAAATTACCATTATTAGCAGACGGATATCGGCTCGTCGTCGTTTATTTGAGATGCCAACCTGAAAATGAGCTTTCACCGGAATTTGGCTTCCTTCTTACCGCGAGCCGAATCTTAACAACCACAATCATATCCAAAACAAGTGCCAAAACAGTGAACCCAAAAACAATATAATCAATGGTGTAGCTAATATAATTGAAGAAGGGACTGATCGAGTAAAAGCCTTTCATAAACCAGTCAGCTGGTGAGAAAAACGGGCCAGCATAGCATATCGTTTCCGCATCACTTTTCACTTTAAATAGCTTTTTCAGCTTTTTTTTCTACTTTCAAACACATACAGTCTCCGATTCCAAGGAAATAGTAGACATTCGGGATGATGAAACAGCCGATTGTATAAGGAATCAATAGAATCTCGGCTTGCTTATAATAAGATCCGATGAAAAATACGGCAAATATACTATAAAAAAAGCATTATTTCTGGTTTTTTTTCTTTTGAATTATGTAATTTCTTGAAATCAAAATAGAACGGACAATGGTAAATGGGCATAATATAAGTACCGATTCAGGGAGAGACAGTGAAGAAAGAGCTGCATTGCATAAAAGATTCCCGTCGCTATGGAAGAAACGATTCGATTGATCAAAATGCCCGGGATTGTGCCCGTTTCGCTGACACAATGCCAACTGAAAACAGCTTTAACTAGTAAGCTTACAATCAAACGAAATTAACTGAAATTAGAACTAGAATAGCTGATTAGTTGGCTCTTTTCTAATAATATTGTTAATGCTCTTACTCGCAAACACATGTCCCAAAGTAGTAATGGATAAAAGCCTCAAGTAAACGACACAAAACGTCGATTAGTAGAATGAATTTGACACCCCGAGACAGATTTGAATTGTTATAAAGAATCCTGACACAGACTGAATGAAGAATTAGGCCGACGGTACCAAACTAAATAGGAGTCAATTTCGGTAAAAAGTTAACGGTTACCGTGAAAAACGAAGCAATCACCCATGAGCGAATGGCTTCCGTTCTTGGAGAGGATAAGTGGATGGGCAAACCGCTCAATGCAAATCCAGCGCCGGCCGCATTCACTGTCAAAAGGGCACCGGGCTAAAGTTAGATTTGCTTGTGGTGCTTACCGTAAATACTGTAATAGTACCCCACCCCCATCATGACGGTGCGGAGTGTTGCGTAGTCTAGCTTTGAACTAGTTTTTCTCGACACTGGTTTATGCTACAATGTGCGCTTAGGTATCAAAAAATAGCCCTGAATTTCAGCTATTTCTTTATACCACAGACGCATTTTTTGAAAGTACGAGCGCTTTGAAAAAAATGAAATATTAAAAAACTTTTGCGTCTACGCGACTGTACGAGGGGGATTGGGTACTATTACAGTATTTACGGTATGTGCTTTACTTTAGCAAATATGTAGTATGTAAGATCGGAACTCTACTTGTACGTATGCTATGAGCGCTCTAGGAATTACAAGAACAAAAGGTGACCAGGTCAAAAGGCCAACCAACTGAGCTAACTGGTTGAAAACTTGTTGGTGTTCAGTCTAGTAGTTGTCTAACAAGTGAAAACTAACAGCGATTTGTCCTCAAGAGACATGGGAAAATTCCAACCCGAACCTAATTCCACCTTCGTTTTCTCGGTCGTTACTTGGCCGATCATCCTGAAGTTTTTACTACAAGATGGAAGTGTCGATTTCTATCAGTTGACAAAATCTCAGAGCAATCAGCCAAGAAAACAAAAATGGAAATGGGTTCGGGTTGGAATTTTCCCATGTCTTCAATAATGTCTTTAATGTCTAGTCTTCAATAATAGCATATGGAGTCATATTCTGGCTCTAATTTGAAATCGTCTCCATTAGTTCTAACAATGCCAGAGTTATCATACTAGTTATGGGATTAGTGGACAATAAAAAGCTTATTGCTTTATTGAAAGAGTTTAGTGTTCAGAATAAAGGCTAACATTTTACTTTTTACCCCACAAACCTGATAGTTGCACTTGCTATCCGAAACATAGACTCTATTATTGGGATCATAGTAGAAACTTTCTCCATAAATGTCAACATATGTCCGATTTGTGGAAGAAGTCAGATTGGCTGCCATTTTTTGAAAATATGGTCTTTTAGGAGACTAGAATTTTGTTAAACTGAAACTGAAACTGTTGAACTGAATTGAAAACTGAAAAAAAGCAAAAAATCGAGTTGCCAATGCGTCAACTCCTCGGGGAAATCAATCCAGTTCTGTTTTGAACAAAAAACACATCCCGGTACTCGCTTATTATTTTTTTTTCTAATTAATTACTGAGATCAAAATTCAAGATCTCTTTTGAAAGTTTTGAAAAAAATTGTAGAAATTGGTTTGCTTTGCGTGAAAATAGCTTTATTAATTGTTCAATTTCCTTGTAAACTAGAAAAAATAGAGCTAAAATGCGTCAATTGTGGGGTTTTTGGAAAAAAAGACTCTATCCGTTTGTGATTTTGTAATTATCAGCTTCAGATTTGAAAAGCTTTATCAAAAGTTGTCTGACTTTTGTTTGTTCATTAGTTGCAAAACAATGTACCGGTATTAAAAAATGTTTTTTTCTTTATGCTTATCGTATGACTTATTCCCTGAGCGTGTTTTTTCATAATTTTAAAATTTGAAGTTTCTTTATTTGAAATTAGAAAAATGTTTTTTAAATTAAAAAAGAAGATACATAGATTTTATGTACAAGTACATAAGATTTCTCTTTGAAGTCATAGTTTTTGTTGAAAAATAATGACTGTTAATGAATGTGGACTTATTCATTGGAATTTTTAGAAATAACTCGTACACCAATTAATCTACAGTTTTTACCAATAAAAAGACCCATTTATTATCTAAATCAAACTTTTGACAGATTTACAAAAGCTTCGGTTTTGTAGGTTTCTCGGGGCCAAGAAGCACTCAATGAACACTTGATGAAGCGACTTGAGCACTTTCTTCCACATAAACCTATTTTAGTGTCAGTAAAAAAAAGGGAGAGCATAACAAGTTAAAGAAATTGCCAAATTTTCAGCTAGATTTAATCAATCGTTTTTTTTATAGTTTCATTTGAAGAATTTTCAGAAAAACTTGAATTTCTGCTTAAATTCGTTTCAAAAGTTACCCAAATTTGCTTAAGCATGTCGTAAATTAGATAGTATATAATTTTTATTTAGAGAAATCTAATTCAATTGGCGCATTAAATATGTTTTATTGAAAAATACGTAAAAATTTACCAAATTTCAAATTGCCAATCTAAGAGGAGCAATTCATCCAAAAAACAGCGATGAACAATGAAAGAAAAACAATGAAGCACCAAAATAAACGTTATTTTCCACAACTTTTTCGGTTTTATCTTTTTTAATGAGTGTTTATTTACTTATTCTGGCTTAATTTCCGTTTAATAGCCAATTCGACAGTGTTCCAAATGAGCATGGCAACGGTCATCGGCCCAACACCACCAGGCACTGGAGTGATGTAGCCAGCAATCTGGAAAGGGGTTTTCATTTTTGATATTCTACACAAGGTTCTGTCTTTCAAAAACAATCATTTATTTAACAAGAACTAATTGTTTTTGAAAGTACCTCCTTAGCTGCTTCGGTGTCTACATCCCCGAAAAACTGACTCTTCCCATTCGGTTCTTTGGCCTCTTCAACATTGAAGCCGGCGTCAATGACAAGAGCTCCAGGCTTGATCCAATCACCTAAAAAATTAAATATTCAGCTAAAGCTTAATAAAAATGTATAAAAGTTCCAAAACTTAGTTTCAGTACCTTTTACAAAGTGTTTCTGTCCGATGGCAGCCACTAAAATATCGGCTTTTTGACAGTGATCTTTGATGTATGGTGTTTCCGAGTGACAAACGGTAACTGTCCCATGAAACCATCTAGAAATTATATTTACCTATACAAATTATAGTAGTGATGTTTAGTTTTAAAATCGGTTTTTTTATTTGATCACAAAAAGCTTACAAGAACAACGATGACAATGGACAGCCGCCAATCTTCGACCGCCCCAAAATGACCACGTTTTTGCCGGAGATGTAGTTAGAATCGCCTTGAAAAACTTCTAATATTCTTAAGCTTTATAGGAACTTATAAAATTGCCAGAATTTGTAACCTTTGACAATCGATTTTTTAAAGAATTTTACCTGTGGCATATTCCACAAGACGCAAGCAGCCGAATGCACTGCAGGAAAGGGTGATCTTGTCCAATTGACCGCTTGCAAGTCTTCCAATGTTTCCACTAGTCATCCCATCCACATCCTGAATGTTATGAAATTAATGAAAACTAAAAATAAATTTTTTAGTATTTCAAATTCAACTCTTTTCAAGCTTTACAAAATTCACCTTTGACAATCGAATTCGATCCGTCACCTCATCGGCATCAATATGATTGGTGCAATCAAGTGGCAACTGGAAAAGATATTAATAATATTTAACTATCGACTTTAGTTGTTAGATATAGCTTAGAGAAACTTGAAAACAGTTTAATACAGCAAACGAATCATTTTTTATCGCTTACCAACAAAATAATTCCATCAATCTTGTCATCATTATTCAGCTCATCAATCGTAGTTTCGAGTTCTTTTTGAATCGTTGTTTCAGGTAGATTGACCACTTTGACTGAAATTCGGTTTTACATATTATATAGCTTTTAAAAGTTGTAGAAATTATAAACTATTTACCTTCAACCCCAACTTCTTTAGCCTTCTTCTGGGCATTTCGAATGTAGACACTGGCATCAACTAGATTCCCAACCTAAAGAAAGCTTTAAAAGTAGTAATAATTTATTATTTTGTTTTATTCATTTTATTTTAGTTTAGAAAATGTATTCATTTTTATTTTTAAAAACTAAATACATATTAGTTTACCTGAACAAAGGCTACACAAGGCTGAAATAATTGGTGTTCAGCTCGGGTTTTCTCCATCTTTTCAATCACCTGGAAACCATTTTAAAGCTCAAAAACAAATTTATCATTTATAAATTTCAATAAACTTTAATAAAACTATAATAAAACTATAAAGAATTTTACCTGTGGCATATTCCACAAGACGCAAGCAGCCGAATGCACTGCAGGAAAGGGTGATCTTGTCCAATTGACCGCTTGCAAGTCTTCCAATGTTTCCACTAGTCATCCCATCCACATCCTGAATGTTATGAAATTAATGAAAACTAAAAATAAATTTTTTAGTATTTCAAATTCAACTCTTTTCAAGCTTTACAAAATTCACCTTTGACAATCGAATTCGATCCGTCACCTCATCGGCATCAATATGATTGGTGCAATCAAGTGGCAACTGGAAAAGATATTAATAATATTTAACTATCGACTTTAGTTGTTAGATATAGCTTAGAGAAACTTGAAAACAGTTTAATACAGCAAACGAATCATTTTTTATCGCTTACCAACAAAATAATTCCATCAATCTTGTCATCATTATTCAGCTCATCAATCGTAGTTTCGAGTTCTTTTTGAATCGTTGTTTCAGGTAGATTGACCACTTTGACTGAAATTCGGTTTTACATATTATATAGCTTTTAAAAGTTGTAGAAATTATAAACTATTTACCTTCAACCCCAACTTCTTTAGCCTTCTTCTGGGCATTTCGAATGTAGACACTGGCATCAACTAGATTCCCAACCTAAAGAAAGCTTTAAAAGTAGTAATAATTTATTATTTTGTTTTATTCATTTTATTTTAGTTTAGAAAATGTATTCATTTTTATTTTTAAAAACTAAATACATATTAGTTTACCTGAACAAAGGCTACACAAGGCTGAAATAATTGGTGTTCAGCTCGGGTTTTCTCCATCTTTTCAATCACCTGGAAACCATTTTAAAGCTCAAAAACAAATTTATCATTTATAAATTTCAATAAACTTTAATAAAACTAATTAAAAGATAGCTATAAAATTACTTCTTGAAGAACTTTCTTTGAGCATTCGATCCCCGAAATCTCTACAGCTACCATTTTCTAAACAAAACAAAAATTGTCAAAATAAAAACTTAAATAATTACAGAACTTGATAATAATGAATAGAAAGTAATTGTTTCTACAAAAAGTTTCTTTAAATAGGCAATAGGACAGATGAAAGGACTAACATGTGGCTCTAGGAAGGGCCAAAAGCAATTTGAAAAAATCCAAAAACTTTAACTTACGCCAGAAAACCTCTAAATTTTAAGAATTTCTCTTGCAAAGACCTAGGACCAAAAGCTCTGGGGTTTTTTTTTTAAAAAAAGCCCTAACAAAATGTGTAAACTTGCGAAAGGGGAAATGAGTCAGCGATTGTGGGAAAAACAGCTCAACTTATTAAAATTATGCAGAAGAAATTACTGAAATTTATATGGAATTTGTAGAAAAGTTGGATCTTTTTGATATTGAACTGTAACTTTTTAAAATCTGACATTTTCGGTTTCCGTTAGCAATAAATAGAGTCAATATTTTCCGTTAGTTTTAAAAGACAACCAAGATTTTATTTCAAAACAATCAACTGATAATGGCTTCCGTATCTTTAAATCCATTCTACTCTTTTCCGATCCTTTTGTTCCTTTTGTTAACGATCCTTTTGTTAACGATCCTTTTGTTAACGATCCTTTTGTTATATTTTAGTAGTTATCTAGTAAAAAGTTTAAAAATTCTTCGTTAAACATAAATTTTTTTTTAAAAGTACCTAAAAGTTACTTATTTTTTTTATGTACATATTGTATGTTTTAGAATTAATATATTCAATCTTAAGCAGAAAAAGTTACTTTAATATAGGAGAAATGAATTGTAAGCAAAAATTTTAAAAAGCAAAAAAGGTTTGGCGTAGAGAGGAATCGAATTCGGACTAAAAAAAACCTTGGTATCCGAGCACGCATGATCCTTTCGGCAATCGCTTCACTCTTTCATTTTCGTAAACAAGCCTCAAAAAGGAGTCCTAAAACTTTAAAGCCGAATATCTCGCTTTCGCAGGGTCTTTAGCAAAAAAATGTTACTGATTCGTGATCTCCGTGGTCGAGTCAATAAGGGCACATAGGCTCGAAGCGATTCCGAACTTCAAGTTGGGATCATTCCCCTTGTCAGCTAATATAGACAATATTTAAGGACAGGATCAGCTCCTTGAGTGTACCTGTCGAACTTGTTTTATAAGATTTCGTTCAGAAGACAAAAGCCTTGAAGTTCTGGGTCATCCAGATAAAAATCACTTAACTGATATTTTGTTTTCAATAAAATTTGCTTTTTACTTAATCGAACATCCCAGTAAAACAACAATTTTATAGCTGATGGTTGTCAAAAGTTAAATCAAAACCGGTCGTATTAAACCTCTTTTAACTGTAAAATGAGTTTACAAGTGTTCTTAACATTAATGCTGTCTTTGTTTATAGCCAATTTTTTGTAGAATGTGACCAGCCATGATTCGAAAAGGTTACTTCAAAAAGAAATCTATCAATTCGACGAAAATGACCAGGTGAAAAGATTTTCTTGTCTATCTCATATATAAATTAATCATTTTTCAAATGTCTGACAATCCAAAGTATTATCTTTTATTTGAGCTAACAATTTCTATCATATCAATCCCAATAAATCTATTCACCCTATATTGTATTGTCAAGAAATCATCGTTGGAGATGAAAGAGTACAAGGTTCCATTGACTTGTGCGCAGGTAACTATTCAAAGATGATTAAAAGCATAATTAGGTCTGATAGTAAGACTAAGTGTACCAGAGAACGCGCGTCAACAGAAAGTACGAGCCAGCTCATCAAGTAACGACCATACTTTGTTTTAACTTTGTTGCCCGGCAAACGCCCGCTCTCCGGCGCACTGGATTTATCGTTTTTACTAGTATTTATACACTCTATCCTTTAAATCAAATTCAGTTATTCACATTAACTCTTGATCTTATCCTTTTCACGATTAAACCTGAATTGAACTTCCCTGCAATGTCCGGTCGAATCTTTGGTATCTGGGACTCAGTGTTCGGGCTTGGAGCAAGCAGTGCTTTGGTCTGATATTGATCTGATAGAGACTTGCTTGTACTTGTACTAAAAAAAACCAGACAATTTACAATTATGATATGAAAAAACACAAACTGATAAAGCTCGAAACTGGCTTCACATTTTGATTTAAAACATTTGATAGCCCAAAAAAAACTTAAAAACTATTAAGAATTAATGTTTCAACAACGATTTCAAACTTGAAACCTTTGATCACTTGTAGTGAAGGTTTTCTAAACTTTTAAATCATCTAAATCTCATAGGTTCATTCTTTTTTTGTTCTCAATCAAATTGAATTAGATGCAATGAGAAGATTGGCAAAAAAACCAGAAGGCAAAGCTAGCCAATAGCATTCAATTGGGCTTAGCCTGGAATTTCAACCTTACCGTCGATTTGGCCTAAAACTCTGCCTTTGACTTTCGATAAAATTGAATCTTTGAATCCTGCCTTGTTTTTACAAACCTTTTCAGGCAACCGGCTCTTTTCTCGTCGTCTCCACACTCTCTTCACTACTCAACATTTACTTCCTGAAGCTTCAAAGTCTTCTAGAGCCGACCAGTTTCTTTAAGTGAGCAACACGACATTTTCAACCCATTTTCTTCATAGATTCAATCGATTGGGCAAGGTTTTATTTATGAGTCCACTCTTCATTTTCTATCCTTTATTAATTGCGGGAAGTATAGCAATGATGCCAATTCAAAAAGGGACAAACACTGACAATTTGCGAGAGCTTTTACAGGTATACAGAATTGTGCCAGCCTGGTTTAACAGAGTCTGACTCATCAGAGCCTGACCAAAATTGAAAAAGTTTTGAGTTTGGCACATTTCTGCTTTTTATTTTGACTTGATTCAATGGCAGAACAAGGCTCAAATTACAGTTGTTAAAACAAAACAGCTTTTTGAGTTAGGTACTTGGCATTAACGGTACCCTGTCTTAAAGTCCAATCTGCCTTATTGTAATGAAAAGTAGTGAGGATTTCACAGCATCTTTTGTCAGGTCTTGATGTTAATTGGATAAAGGCTTATGAGACGTTGAATTATTTGGAAACCAATTCAGATTCCTACAGATATTTGATAAAAGTTGACCATTTCGCCCAATCCCTCTCCATTTCCAGACTCATCCCTTTTTTTCGTATCTCGCCAATTACTCGGATATCTATGTTGGCCGTATTGTTCCCATTTACCCACCATTCATTCAACTTTCCGCAATTCATGTATTCTGTGTCGGTGTGCTAATTTATGCCATACATGCCATAAGTTATGTGAGTTGGCTAAACACTTTCAACTTTCAGCTTTAACTTTATTTCAGACATGGATTTTCATCGGCTGGTGCCAATATGTTATCACGAATTGTTGTCCAAATATGAGCGCGAAAACGAGGAAAATGCAGAGGAAACTTCTGACTGCGATGTCTTTAGAGGTAAAGTAAAATAAAGATTTCAAAAGTTACCGTACTTTTTCAAATGCAACCACTAAAAAAAAGAGACTCCATCACAACGGTAATCTCGGGTTCTACAAGTCTCGGAGTAATCCAGCTGCCTTGCAAGACTCTAAAGTTTAGCTTGTCTCATCTACAGCTCAATATTATCGTCAAGCACTTTAGAAAATAAAACTCGTTTTGTTTGGTTTCAAGATTCAGAAGCCTTTTTAATTTTTCGCTTAAAATGAGCGGGATTTGAAAGTTCTAGATTTAGACGACCATCTCAACGCTATCACTCGGTGTTCCGTGGATTTACTATGCGATTACTATCTTCATTCAAGCAAATACAATCTACCAATGTTGGTTTTATTTTTAAATCCTGTCCGCATTTGATTTCCCCTTTAGCCGTCAACAATTTCTTCTTCGGTCTCCTCTGTTCTCATGGTGCATTGGGATCGATCTTTTGGCTGATTTTGATTGAACCATTTCGACGATTCACAATCACGGCCATTCTCAAAACTCCAGCACTCAATTATTTCGGAAAATTTTTGTTCACCACCCAAGCAAAACAACTGACCATCATTCATGTCTCAAATTTTAATTCGGATTAGGGAAAGGTCAACTTTCGGTTTATTTTTCTGGATAATCCACTATTCTTATAGATAATTTCGATATTATTGGCTTATTTGATTTCCAGTTTAGACTAGCTTTTTACTATCCTTACCTGGCATAAACCGAACAGTTCCCATCAGCTTACATTGCCAAAATCTCTAGTCATTCTCCAGTGTACTGTACTCACGACATTTGTAGGTGTACTACAAATGTCGTTGTACGTCGTACTACAAAGGGTGCCAAATCCTTCTGGCACGGTTTCGCAATAAATATTTTGAGCCAAGTTATGGTTGAATCAAGCTCTAATAAATCCTTTCAATAAAATGTTTATTTCACATACATAGTTATTATAATACAAAAGTGACTTTTTTCAAAGCCTTTCAAAAAATGAGTGACTAAGAGAATGGATGCAAAATTGCCAATGAATTTTTGACTAGCTGAGTTTACAACTGATAACGAGCCATGTCGACCTCTTTATCACAACTTTAACTGTTTATTTAGACGACTCAGCTAAATGTTATGTCAGAAAATGAACAGTTTGGCTTAAATAGATAGTTTTCATTCTTTTTTTTCCATTCATCAAAATAATTGTACTATTGCCAACTTTTATCCAAATTTTGAATCCAACAAAATGCAGGAAAACTATGAAGAGCGTTTTGTTGGCAAAGGACGTTATGGGACTGTTTATGAATTGGTTCGACACAATCCGTGAGTCGAAAATATGTTGGTAATTGCTCAATTTTTGTTTTTAGCCCGGCTGTGATTAAATATGTCAAATGCAAAAGTCGATCGATTGTAAAATCAATCAATTCCAGCAATAAACCAGTAAACAAAATGGTTGCTATGGGCTAATTACTCAAAAAATGCTCATTGAACAAAGAGAAATCGATGCAATGACTAAAACGAACTCGACTAAAGAGAGAAAAGCGTGAAAACAGCTGTCTAGTTGATCAGTTCTGAT